ATTGAAGAAGATGAACTGGGTATAAAACTTTAATGGAGGACAACATCTGCAATGGGGTGTTCAAGAAAAAATTGAAGAACCCAATGATATTTTCCTCTGCGATAAAATATTTAGACTACAATTTGTTATTCCATAAACTATCTTCAAAAATTACAACCAAATTCCATTTCCACAGCAGAAAATTTAGAGACTTTGTTTTGAATACAAACAAAAAAGATAATCATGGAATTTGAGGTGAAGATTATACTAAAGTAGTGGGATAATCGGTAGAGAAAGATTCTGAAAATTTGAAATAGTTTTTGTTTGGTTATCTCAAAGTTGAGGAAAATGGATAATGTATAATGGGTAGTAAAAATTAGGGTCGGGTCGGGTCGGGTATAAAAATTTGGGCGGTCTCTTTAACTTTGAACTGCGACGTGTCATTCCGTCCAAATTAGGGGTATATTTGTTTTATAGTATAACGGTAGGGGCTCAAACAACCACATAGTTGGACGGAGGATACATTTAAACAATATATAAAAGTAGAGGGATATATTTGACCCTTCTCCGTAAAGTGAAATATTATTAAATAATTAATTAATAAGATAAGGTATATTTTAATAGAAATCCAATTTTTGAAAGTCCTTCTCAATTATCAATTTTAAATATTTTTAAAAGAAATAAAAAGGTTATTTCGCTGTAACTATTGTCAATATATTAATTTATTTTGAAAGAAAGAAAAATTAAAATGAAGAGTGTACGTTCCAATTTATCGGATGTCCCCGAAGGGACTATAATGAACAATATTTTCTTCTAGTTTACGTAATTTTATTTTCTAGAACTCCGTTAAGTTTAGTTTAGAAACTTTTGAATTGTTAAATTATCTTAATACTGGTAATCGTACTCGCGCGATGCGCGGGCAATATTAAAAATATTAATTAAATTAAATTGTGATCGGGCTTGTTTGAATATATTAGATAGTATTGCTTAAATAAATTTTAGTTGTCATCTTATTTGTCAATACAATATATAGTCATCGAATAACTTTTTTGTTCTTTATTCTTTATTATATTATCCAATGTTTAGTATTATTACATTGTTAATAAAAAAAATTATTAGCATATTACTTTATTTAATATTTTTTTCTGCTACTTTATTTTTATAATATAATAGAAGATATATATTTATACTTTTGAAATATTTTTTTTATTTTAGATTTTATCCTATTGTTCTCAATAATATTGTCTTAATTTTAAGGAAAGTATAATTTTTATTTTAAAAGAGAAAAAAAATAATTTTAAAAAAAATAAAGAAATTAAATAACCTAAACCATTCCTCACCCACGTCCGAGTAGTTAATTTTAGGTAAGTTAATTTCTTTGTGTCCATTTTTCTCATTTTATCATTTTTTATTAAATAATTTTTGAATCTTCTTTTTTTTTTTTGATTAACAGTTTTCTATTCATTCCATCAAAAAAGTATACATTACATTCAGTAGATGCTGACCATCTACTCATTCTGTGTTATGAACTCTAGTCTAAGGCTTTATCTTAAGCTAGGACTATAAAAAACAATCCCTTGTTGCTATGCTAATACTCTTTAATACAAAAAGAAACCATAACAGACTCTAACATACTAAGGGTAGCAATTTATCCTCTGCAAAGCTTCCTTCCAGTTTTGAATTGAGGCCCCCTTCATGTGTATGTGGATAACTATTTCTTTGCATATGTTGTTGGTGATCAGTCTTCCTCCTTGGAATCTCACCTTATTTCTTTCTCTCCATATAGCATTCACCAGCATCCCAAAGACACAGGTAGCTATTGCAGCTTGTCCATTTCTCCTTTTAGCAATGTTGCTTACCCATTGAACCTCACTCTTCCAGTCACATATAGGTCTATCATATCCCAACCATCTCAGCAGTCTATACCATAGTTCCTTTGTCAGCGAGCATTCAAAGAAAAGGTGATCAAAAGTCTCAACAGCTTGCTCGCAAAAGATACACTACTGTGGAGTTTGTATGCCAAATTTCAGTAGTCTCTCCATTGTTGCCAATCTGTTGTGTAATGCAAGCCATAGTATAAATTTGTATCTTGGATGCATATGTGCCTGCAGGATAATGCTCTTCCACTGGACTTTTTGGTGTTGAGGGAATTGAAGCCTGTACAATTTTTTAATGCTGAACAATTCACCCCTTTGTAGCTGGTTTAATCTGCTTTCCAGGCTCCCTTGAATTCCTTGAAGCTCATTTATCGTCCTTCTTGCCTCGAAAATTTTCCTAACTACCCAGGCTGCATTCCTAGGAGTAGGCATATCTTCAATTGTATGATTCTCTATGTAATAGATATGCATCCATTTTATCCATAGGCTATCTTTCTTCTTTGCCACTGCCCATAGATGCTTAGCAACAACAGCTTTGTTCCAGTATAGCATGTTCATTACATTGAGCCCCCCTGCACTTTGTGGCAGACATATTGTTTCCCAAGAAACCAAAGCTTTCCTTGACACTGTAGCTGAACCAGTCTACAAGAATGATCTGCAGATTACCTCAATCATCTTCATCACTTTCTTTGGTAATAAGAAGATTTGAGTCCAATAAGATTGCACACCAAATAATACTTATTTTATCAATTGAAGTCGCCCTGCATATGATAACAATCTTGATGTCCGGCAGTTTATTTTCTGAGTTACCTTCTCTACTAGTGGCCATCACTGAGCAATGGATAGTTTTTTGGAATCCAATGGTACCCCAAGGTACTTGAAGGGTAGGCTACCTTCAGGGAACCCCAACTCTTGCAAACTTTCCTCTTTGTGCCAATTTGAAACTCCAGCTATATAGACAGAACTCTTATCAGCATTTGCTTGAAGACCTGATACCATAGAGAATTTCTGGAAAGCCTGTTTTAATAGCCTAACAGACTGTATATCAGCCTTGCAAAACATTAGCAAGTCATCCGCAAAACATACATGTACCACACCCAATTTCTTGCACCTAGGATGGAATTTGAAGTCTTTCCTCTTCATCAATTGCATGAACTCCGTTTGCAAATACTCCATGGCCAGGACAAAGAGGTAGGGAGACATTGGGTCTCCTTGCCTTATGCCCCTCTTGCCCTTGAAGGGTGCTGTGAGACCACCATTTATGTTGAGGGAATATGTAACTGATGAAATGCATTCCATTACCTGTCTTGTGAACTTGTAAGGGAACCCCATATCAGCAAGCAGTATTTCTAAAAAATACCATTCTACTGTGTTGTAAGCTTTCCTCAAATCTACTTTAAGAACACATCTTGGGGAGATACCTTTCCTATTATAACCTTTGAACAATTCATGTGTGAACAGGATGTTGTCCGTAATGCTGCGACCTTCAATGAATGCTGCTGTGATCTCCCAATTAGACCTCCAATGACTGTTTTTAGTCTTGCTGTGAGGACCTTTGTGATGATTTTATACAGTGTTGTACAGCATGCTATGGGCCTATAGTCCTTCACTTGACTAGGATTTTGCACTTTAGGAATCAGGGTTACAGCTGTACTACTAACTCCTTTATGCAACCTCCCAGTCACAAAAGATTCCTTCACAGCCTCATATATGTCATCACCAACCACTTGCCAATGTCTTGTGAAAAATTCAACTGGGAACCCATCTACTCCTGGTGCCTTATCATGGGGCATATTTTTAATTGCCTGAAATATTTCATCTCTTGTAACTGCTTTGACTAGGTCCTCCTTCTGTTATTAAGACAAGGACCTTGGTGTATAACCTCAGAGTTTGGACATTGACATGTAGTGTTATTTTCTCCCAGTATCTTCCTGAAGAACTTTATAAACTCTTCCTCCACTAGTATAGGATCATACAACCTGTCTCCCAAGTCAGTGTAGATAGAGTTGATAGTGTTTATATTTGTCCTCATCTTCAACTGTGCATGGAAATACTTAGAATTTGAGTCTCCACAAGTTATCCAATGTGCTCTAGACTTCTGATGTAGAATCTGCTCCTCTATGTTGCTCCATTTCTCTACTTCCATCAAAGCCATTTTGTCTTGATCAATCAATCTTTGATCCATGTGTTTGAGCTTTAGTTCACTCTGAATGGCTTCAAGTTTCTGCCTGGCCTTATTGAGTTGAAGCCTATAGGATGCCATATAAGTATTCAAATCCTTCAGCTTAATTTTCAAAGCTTTGAGCTTATTCCATACCCTGTGCATATTGCCTCCGGTTATCTCTTGATTCTATACCCTTTCCACTATGCCTGCAAAGTCAGCATGATCTATCACAGAATTATACAATTTGAAGGGTTTAGGGTGCAGGTTCCTTTTTTGATCCACATCCTTGCATTGCATTAGAATAGGGGAGTGGTCTGACACATCAGGATTTAGAAAATCTGCTTCAATGTGACTATACTTCTGCATCCATTCCACATTCCCCAGTGCCCAGTCGATTCTGCTATATACTCTTTTCTCCAGTTGTTGTTTGTTGCACCAAGTGTAGTACCATCCCAAACTCTTCACCTGTGTGAGCTGCAGGGTAATTATTGCATCCTGGAATCCCTTTATCTCACTGTGTGTGACTGGAGCCCCTATCCTATCGTCAGTGTGGAGTACATTATTAAAGTCTCCACTGAGTAGCCAACTCTCCTGTATAGTTGCTCCTAAATTCACAAGTTTATCCCATAGCTGCTGCCTTTTGTTTACCTCATTACTTGCATACACCACTGTTATCAGAGTCTTGAATGTAGAGCTTCTTTCTTGGACTTCACAATGTACAAACTGTTCATCAAGCACCAGTATCTGCACCTCAACATTTGGTTTCCACATTAGCCAAATCCTCCCATTTGGATGTTCATTATTGTTCCAGCAAAATCTCCAATCACTGCATACTTTGTTTATTATCCTGTTAGCCTTCAATTTCTTTACTCTTGTTTCTAAACAGACTATAAAGTCAACTTTATGTTTCCTCAAAAAGATTTTTAACTCTTTCTGCTTATGGGCCTTATTCAGGCCCCTTATATTCCAGGTGCAAAAGATCATTTTGGGGTGAAGCTGGATGGGTCAGCGTCCCCTGGATCATCTACTATCTGCAACAAAGAGAACCTGTTTGTGGAGTTCATCATAACTACTGCACTTTGTTGTACACTTTTCCCTTTCATTTCCCCATTATCCACAGGTTTGTCATCTCCTTTGTCATTTGTTTGTTGAATGTCCCTTGCATTCCTAGCATGTTGAATCACATCATCCTTCCTCTTATCTTTTGGCATCCATTTCAATGTCCCTCTGTGTATTTGTTTCTTTTTCACATCTTCCTTTAGTTGAACCTTTACTGCCTTTGTCTTTTCCTGCACTTCCTTGAGCCAACATTCATCTGAGTTATGCCCAAATCTAATGCAATCACAACAATACTTTGGCTTCCATTCATAGTCAATTTGCTGAATTATGACTCCCCTCTTAGTTTGCATCTCAAAGCTATCTGGTAATGGTTGGGATAAGTCAGTTTCCACCAAAACTCTTACATAGGATACCTTTTCCATTTCAGCAGTGATCTTATCAGTGTACAAAGGCTTCCCAACCACACTAGCTAGTTTGCTAAGTGCTTCAGTAGACCAGAATCCCAATGGTAGCCCTGGGAATGTGATCCACAAAGGAATCACACTCACATTTCCTGGATCAAATTTGAAATCCATTCTCCATTGTTGCAGCACAAATGGCTTGTTGTGAAATGTATACGGACCAGCTTGTAGAACTAGGTCCCTATCTTCAGTATTTTCAAACCTGAAAATATAGTAACCTTCCTCATGATATAGAATTTGAGGCTTCTCAACAAAATTCTATACGTTTGTGACATAGTTATCCATTGCTTTCTCATAAGGATCTTCACCAAGCACAAATCCAATCAGAGTTGTACTCCAGTAGGCTTCCTGTTCCTTAGTATCCTCATCTTCAATTTGCACGACAAAGGTACCATCCCTCATAGCAGGCGGTACATAACATAGTGTCTTCCCCTTTTGAGAGCTTCGATTCTTCTGCATGGCTGCCCTTTTCCTCTCAACTTCCATTGGACCTGTCATATCTTGCCGGATCTGCCCTGAGTTTGCTTGTGCTGAAAATTGCAATCGCCGATGGACTTGCGATGCTTCCATGGTTTCCTTCATCAGAGTTTGCTCTTCATTTTCTTCAATTTCCTCCCTAATTGGCTGAAATTTTTGTGACAAAAAGCTACCAAAAGTTACCGGGAGCAATCTCTGTTGAATACCTGTGTCTGGCGTCACTGTCGTTCCGTCAATTTCTCCGTCCTTAGCTGGTTTGTGAAAAACTGTAGGTGCACTACCCATTCCTGTTAACCAGCAAGTAGGTTGGTTGAGTGCAGGTGTTTCCTCCTTACTGTCATCTTCCTTAGCTTCCGTTGACAATGGAAGCTTCTTCCTGTGTCTAGCCATGGCTGAAGCGCAGGTTAGCTAACCTTGCTTAACTTGCGCTTGCAGAGCGGTTACGTGAATCCCCACTCTAATTTTTGAATCTTCAATTAGTTGAAAGTTTGTCCTAAAATTTGACACGTATTAAATTTTCGCTGTTACACTTGACATCATCATATTAATTTGCTTCTCCTGTTCAATTTCTTTGTGACCATTTTCTTAATCATTTTTTCCTTTTTTTAAATAGAATTTTTGTATCTCCAATTAGTTGGTAGTTTGTCCTAAGATTTAACAGTACTTGTTAAATTTTTTTATTACACTTGGCATTATCATATTGATTTGCTTTTCCTATTCTATATAGATAGATAGATAGATTTTCTTTGTCGGTTTTTTCTCTTTCACCTCTTTCCTTTTTCTTTTTCCTTTCATCCTCTCTATCTATCGTTTCTCTTTCTCTGTCCTTATTTCTTCACACATCGTGTGTCTATGAAATTCAACCAATATTAAATTATTTATGGGAGGATATAGAAGGGAAAAAATAACTGATTAGTCACTTAGAAAAGTCTCCAGATGAAGGGAAAAAGGCAAAAAATTAAATTATTTATGGGAGGATATAGAAATGGAAAAACAATTGATTAATCACTTAGAAGGAGCAGAAAAAGTCTTAAGTTGAAGGGAAAAAAGCAAAAAATTAAGAAAAAGACATATGAATGTTGGACTATGCGGGTTGCTATATCATAATATCAGAACTCTTTGGCCTCAATTCTCAATATTTAAAAATAGCGGAAACATCTGAATATAATTAGAAAAAGCATAATGTGACAATTATCTTAAATTCAAATAATGTAGACAGGGGTTTCAATTAGTAGTTAGTTACATATATATTTTGTAACTTCCAACTTTTTTATATAGGACAAAAAAGCAAAATAGAAAAAAGAAAAAGAGGAGGAAACAAATAAAAAATAAAAAAAAGGGAGAAGAAGAACATTCTCCTTTAGTATCCTCAGTTATGCGGGAAATTTCCACTTTGCACTTGGTAACAAAATAACAAAACATCATCACCATTCTTCTAATATAAGTGAGAACAGATTGAAACCCCTAGTACAAAAGCTTTGTGACTCACAGAATACTTTGTTTGTGGTATTCTTTCCTATTAATAGGAATCCTTAACACGGTACCCATAATAAGTTTCAGGAAAAAATTCTTGACTAAAATTCACATAATTAGCCTCTCCTGAGAGAGGTAATTTCTATAATGAAGTTCAATCATCGACCTTTCTCACTACAAAATACTTAACTTACGTCGTTTACTCTCATGGATCGCACTTGCTCGATTATTCATATCGAAGAAATCTTTAATTGAGGAGTTCTCCAATATCTATGAGTGAAAAATAAAAGCTAAATATATTTAAGGGATGACATAGTTAGTGAACATAATAAGAATACCCCAACTAAGACTGACATATAGGATAAACGAAAAAGTTAAATGAAACATACCTGATCCGGAAAAATAGTTTTATGCATAATCACATAGACAAAAGAGCAGGCAAGGCCTTCATTTAGAAGACAATTAGTCAAAAAGAAAGGAGATTTAGAAGGAGAAAACGCAAATTGAATGGTATTTGCTGTTCACGTAACTTTCTTTTTTTCATTATAAAACGTGAATGTTTAGCATTCATTCTTTGTCCTTATGAAACGGTGGTATAGAAACGGCAATTGTTGGAACGTCACCGGTACTTATTAAAGCGTGGTATAGTAACAGTTATATGGGAAAATATAACTGTAATTAAATATTAAATTATGTTGTAATTGCATGAATATACTGATTTTTTTACCAGAAAAATGAGTTAAAATGCCAAAAAACTGAGAAAAAAGATAAATACTATTGCTAGCATATGAGAGGTGCCAAGTAATCTTTTCTAGTCCCTCCTTTATGTATATATATAGATATATAGATATTTGGTTAATATATATTTATTTGGATAAATAGTTCTTCATTCTCTCTCTATATGTGTGTGTCTCACTACTAGAAATCCGGTAAAAAGCGACCACAAAAAGCGACCAAAGTTGGTCGCTTATAGGCCTAAAAGCGACCAAAAAGCGGCCAAACATGCCTGGTCGCTATATTGCTGGTCCCTTCACTTTAGGGCCAAAGTTGGTCGCTAATTAGCGACCAACTTTGGTCTCTAAGGTAAAATGACCAAATATTCCGGGTATTGACTACAGCGACCATCTTTGGTCGCTTTATTATTTTAATAATATAAATTTGGCGACCAAAGTTGGTCTCTAAATGTAAAATATATTATTTATTTATTTATTTATTATTATTCATAAAACAGCGACCAACTTTGGTCTCTAATCCAAATATTATATTTTAAAATCTAGAAAATGGAGACCAAGGTTGGTCGCTATTTTATTAATTTTTTTAAATTTTTTTTAAAAATAAGCGACCAAAGTTGGTCGCTAATTTCAAGAATTTAATTTTTTTTTTAAATATAAGCGACCAAAGTTGGTCGCTATTTTTCCAGAAATTATTTTTTTTAATGGAATAGCGACCAAGGTTGGTCGCTTTTTTAGAAATCTGGATAAAAAGAGACCAACTTTGGTCGCTATTGCCTAGAAAATTATTATTTTTAAATGAAAAGCGACCAAAAAGAGATCAAAGTTGGTCGCTTTTCTGGGTATTATTTTGGTAGAAACTGCCTGTTTTGGCAGCTACACCACCTGCCAGCATACCAAATCCCTATTACAAGCAACAACAACAACAATACCAACAACAACGACAACAACATTAAAACCAACGAAGTATAAAGTTCAATAGAACTAACACATTAAGCTAACAAAACTAAGTTAACGCTTATTACAAGCTCATTCGAAAACTGGTTCTATTGTCTAGTTCAAAGTATATAAAGTACTCAAGGAGTGTTCTTTCAGCATCCTCGTCCGAAAGTTGGATTGCCTCGCCCGACTCATTAGGTGGCTGACTGCGTATGAATTCCTCCACATCAGCTGTGAAGCGAACCTATAAGAAAAATTATATTAAATTAGTATTTCAAAATTTATATAAAAGTAAATAAAAATACTTAATGAAAAGTAAAAAACTTACGTGTATAGTCGAGGATCGACCCTCGACCCACCTTTCTAAATCAGTCTCTTTCTTCTTCTTTACAATACGAGTTTCATTGAATATCTCATGATCTTGCTTCATTGGCATCATAAAGCTGTCTGGTGACTTTGGTGATTATCCTCGGGATAAACTTGGATACAGAGAATAACTTGGATACAGTAGCTGACAGGGTGTGTCTTTTGATCAATTGTTCTTCCCATTAGCGACAACGATGATAAGAAGGCAAGAACATGTGTTTCAAATAGTTATGGTGTAGGTAGGAGTTTAACATTTCCTAAGTAGATAAAAGAAGAGGTAATAGAGGAATTCTATACTTTATTTTCCAAGAGGAAAAGGAGTTTAATTGGGAGTGACAAGGTTGATGGTGATGGAATGTTTTCCGTTGGTCATGGCAGTTCCCATAAAACGGGGATCATAAGACTCTATGATGACAAAGATTATAGGAAGTTTTGTTCTCAACTTTCTTCCAAGTCTGATCCGTACAAGCTTAATGGGATGTTGGTGATATTTCTTCGGATTCAGACAATGATTTGACTGACAAAAGTATGGAAATGCTAATCAAAAGAATTAAAGCTAAAACGTTTTTCTTGGTAGAGAAGGATGCTGAAAAACATTTTACCTTTAATTCTTTTAATTAGCATTTCCGTGATAAATGAAGTGGATCTATTTAGTTTTATATATATATATATATATATATATATATATATATATATATATATATATATATATATATAGCTATATAGTATTACTAAATATCACTTATAACTTGTGCATAAATTTATAGCGTAAGATATATTATTAATATATATATATATATACTATAATATATAGGGACCTATACTTATATTAGTATATCTATACTAATATATAATATATGATATATAATATTGATATATAATATAATATTATTATATATAAACTATCTATATATTTATATCAAAATGGGCTATATTCCAATATAAGTATTACCTAATACACTTATACTTAACGTGCATAGTATAGCGTAAGTATATATTTTTATATATATATAAAATATATATTACGATATATATATATATACTATATTATATATATATATATTATGATAATAGCTTATTCGATAACAGGTGAGATTTGAGCTAATTAGCACTTCTATACTTAAGTTG